TGAATCTATAGAATTAAAATAAAAAAAGTTCATTGAATTTAATAAGGTGATTGTCAAGATATTTTTATTTAAAGTTTTAAAATTTTTATTTTTGCTAGGGGGTATGAATATTAAATGTGGGGGTACAAAAATTGGGACCCTTTAAATAATTACATATGCTCTCTTATTTAAAGGTTTATCAACGATTAATTTTAATACATCATCATCAAATAAGACAGGCGGATTTCGAAATGCTCATGCTAAAAATACTTTATATCGGATATATTGTGTTTGATTTTAAAAAAAATAATTAAAGTTACATTTACCTTACGGTACATAGGTGAACCCGATAATTCCGAATTTCGAAATTATCGGAGTCGACAAATCAGGCAAGTGAAGTACCACGCGTAACACACTAAAAGTTTGTTAAACAACGTATATACAGTAATAAATTCTCATTAACGTATAAATACTCTTGAGGTAAATTCCAATTGTTAATAATTTTGAAAATGGAACATGTCCGTAGTCTTTTAGAAAAAAGAATCGAAAAATGTCCTAACGAAATATGTAGATGTGAAAAAAAATTAGAAGTACGTGAATATTGTGAAAATTGTAAAAATCGTTTAAAATGTGATATAGAAGCTCCGTTAATATGTAGTGATTGTCTTCATGAAGTATTAGAAAGAGAGTTTAATAACTGGTCGAGTGGAAATTTACTAATCGATGAATTTATCCAAAAAGCTCAACAGTCATTATCTTATGTTCGATACCCAGAATGGATTCCATATAGTTTTTTCACTGAAATAAAATGTATTGATAGAGGCGAATTTGGTGCTATATTTTCCGCAAAATGGATTCAAGGTGCTAAAATTTTCGATAACGATAACGATGAGCGTTATTACTCTCGTTCAAGTCCCTGCGCAATTATTTTAAAGAAATTAAAAGATATGAAACATTTGGAACAGTTTTTACCTACGAAAGAAGAGCTTCATGATCAAACATATTATTGTTGCTTATATGGAATTACCCAAGATCCTTCAACATTAGAATATATGCTTGTAGAACCCACATCTGTATGTGACAGATGTTTCTATAGAATAATAGAAAGTGAATTTTCTAACTGGACTAGTGGAAATTTACAAATTGATAGATTTATTCAAGAAGCACAACTTTCATCATCTTATATCCAATACCCTGAATGGATTCCGTATAACTCTTTAAGTGAAATAAAATTTATTAGCAAAGGCGGATTTGGTGCTGTATATTCTGCAAAGTGGGATAAAGGAATAAAATATTTTTCTATAGTAGACGGAGATAAATATTATACTCGGTCCGAACCATGTACTGTTGCTTTAAAACAATTAGAAGGCGAAAATGATACAATTCATCTTTTTCTTAGAGAGATTCAAGCACAATTTAATTGCTGTCATTTATACGGAGTTACTAAAGATCCTTCGACATCACAATACATGTTCGTAATGCGATATGCACCACAAGGAGATCTTCGACGATTCTTGCAGAGAAATTTTAATAAACTAACTCTAGAAAACAAATTAAGTATAGCACAATCTATATGTATAGAGCTTAAAAATATTCATGCTAAAGGTTGGGTACATGGCGACCTTCATGGCGGAAATATTTTATTATTAAATGAAGATGATGCCTTTATATCAGATTTTGGTTTATGTCGACCGGTAAATGAAACGCGAATGCTTGATCAAAAAATTTATGGTGTCATACCAAATATTGCACCTGAGATACTAAGTTTTCAATCTCCGTATTCTCAGTCAGGTGACATTTATAGTCTAGGTATTATTTTATGGGAACTAGTTTGTGGAATTCCTGCATTTTCAAACAGAGCACATGATGTAAACTTCATAGCAGATATTTGTAATGGTCTTCGACCAAAGACGTGTCATTTTGCACCTTTGACATATAATGATTTGCTGAGAAGATGTTGGGATCAAAATCCTTTAGAAAGACCAACTATAAACGAAATATTAGATTCTATTCAATTATTATGTACATGTTTTAGATATAATTGTCTGCATTATTGTTACAGTGATAAGGAATTTCATCACTATCAGACTCAAAAGAAATTTAAATTTTTAGCATTATCTGGTTTTCTAGAGGAATTGACACTTGATGAATATCAAAATCAAGATAATAGAAATAAAAGGTATTATAAGAACACTCAGGGGGAGAATGTTTGGTTATGGGAATGGGATGGTACTAATTTATCACGGGAATTACTTAATTCGCATAATGCAACCAAGATATATAACATCATGAAATGGAAACCAGATAATCCTATTCACAAAGATGCAGTATATAAAAGTCGCATGATTAGTATTAGTAATGGGTATATGGCTCGTCAAAATAGCAAGTCATTTCAATATGAAATTTCTGACATACCATACATGAGTTTATGAAATTATATTATCAACGATATTGTTTATTTAAAAATTATGGTGGTGAATTTGTTGTTATATAATATTTAATAGTAATAGGCTTTCAAAGGGATCAAATATAAATTCTTCACATTATGTTTCACGCAAATTTTAATATGCTCATTTTACTATTATCGTTCTTAGTATTACATTTATTATTTTCATTACCTGTTACAATATTTCATTTTAGTAGATCATTATCGAATTATTCATACGTAAGTGAATTCCCATTACCGCATTTCTTGCATTTGGTGCTTCTCTTACCTCATTATTAGTAATTGAGTTACCTATTTTGGGCCTACATTGAAACATATATAAAGTGTCACTCTCGTAAGAAAAGCATATTAATTATTCTAACAATAAACATAAGTGTTCTTTCAATATAAAAATCACTTTTTAATATACTTAATATCTTAATGATTACGGTCTAAAAGCTAAATTGTAACGCAGTCTCGTGATAATCATCAATTTGATTGGTGGTGGTGCAATAATCCACTTCCAATTTATATGGCTTATAGAATCACATGCTTTTGGTATTTTTCGAATCGAAATCACTTGATTTTTTAACGTTAACGTCCAAATTATTGAATTAAAATCTAATTTTATCTAATGCATAGATTTTTATTTATAGAAACTAACTATTCTCGATAAGGTATCTCACATTATTATACACAAAGTAAAGTTTCGCTTAAATTATGCAATATAAACAGAGACTTGTTATTGCCACCCCCCATTTTTGTTAATGCCACCCTCTAAATATCAAAAGGTGCTCTGGAAGAGGTATTTCTATTAAGTAAATCCTTATTTTGATCTTAATAAAAGTTGTTCATTAGGCCTTTTCGGTTCTAATGGTAGTAAAATCATTAAAATTGGATTAGTAGTTCCTAAGATATATATATCCGAAGTTAGTTAACTTTTGTTTACTTTTAAAAAAAAACTACTAGCCTGATTTTAATAATTTTACTACCATTAGAACCAGAAAGGCCCGATGAACAACTTTTATTAAGATCAAAATAAAGATTTACTTAATAGAAATACCCTTTTCAGAGCACTTTTTGATATTTGGAACGTGGCATTAACAAAAATGGGGGTGGCAATAACAAGTCTCTATAAACAATTTCCAAATTTAAGTTAGTTTGATTTATTTATTTTTATAGTTAAAACATAATATATATATATAATAAAGTATAATCTCGAGATAATGAAATTTGTTAATTCATATGTATGCATATAAATTCTGCCTAACAACGAATCCTAAACTTGAGTTTCGTTATATCGCGATTATACTGTATTTACATTTACAAATCTACACTACAGAATATACTTAATATTCTTGATAGATAGTTCAAAAAATAAATTTAATTCACATTGAAATTGCGAAATAGAAAAAAAAAAAGTAAGAATTTTGTTATAAAGAAGAGTAAAAGAAATTTTTTTTTTAACTTAATTATAAAACATCGCTTGTAAAAATTACTATATTATTGTACATGATTAATAAATTATATTTGTTAAAATTTTAAAACATCCGAAAATATCGAAAAATTTTTTCATAATGACGTATTTTATTCTAAAAGATTTTGATAATTAATTAATTATTAAACTACCATGCAAGTTTGTAAAAGCAGGGAGGGGACCGCCGACGAACGAAAAATTTCCTAATTTCATCAACAATTACAATAGCAACTGCAAAAACAAGAGGGAAGAACCAAAATTCCACAGGAATAGGGCGAGTATTTAAAGATTCATTAATTCCAGGTGTATATATTATGAAGCAAGCAAGAAGAATAGATCCAACTTGTGCTGCGAAAATATAATAATTTTTCGATCGTTTTTTAATTGGTGAATGTTGGAATAATGATAAATATCTTGTACGAGTTGCGAAAACATTTCCACAAGCTTGCATGACAACTAAACTAACAAATAATACACTTTGCCCTGTGTACATAAATTCATTTAATTGATCTTGTGTATAGTTTTTATATCCATCTGACCATTTATCAAAAGCTAATAATAGATCTGATGCCGAAAACCCACCGTATTGCTGCATATAACGGAAATACATAACATGTGAGAAGAATGCTTCAATCATTCCTAGAAAGAGGTATGCGTGAACAAGTAATCTCCAGTCGACGAGATGTGATGTTTTTGGATTTCGAGGTGGGCGTGTAAGTACATCTTTTTCAGCTTTTTCATACATAAGAGCGATGGAAGGAAGCATATCAGTCAACACACAAATTGAAATCATTAAAAATGTTGATAAGGGTAATGGAACTCCCAAAAATACGTTGACAAGTACGGGAATCAATTCGGACCATGATCCAGCAGGTAATAAATATAGAATAACTTTCTTTAAATTATCAAAAACTAGACGACCACTTTCTAAGGCAACCACTATTGATGAAAAGTTATTATCTAAAAGTACCATATCCGCAGCTTCTATTGCTACTTCACTTCCACCTCCCATTGCAATTCCAATATTAGCAGCTTTCAATGCAGGTGCATCGTTAACACCATCACCAGTTACACCAACGACTGAATCTCTGTTTTGAAATTCTTGAACTATACGTAATTTTTGTTCAGGAGTTGTACGAGCAAATACAATTTCATCGTAAGTGATAACTACATCCCATTGTTTATCAGACAAGGTTGCTACATCAGCTCCAGTTAATAAAAGTGATTTTACTTTTTTAGGACTTTTTTCCCTTGTCGTCGGTTCCTTATGTTCGACGATTTCTAATTTATCAGGAAATTGATCGAGATCAGTAACTGTATGTAGATTGTTCTCTGAATCTGTAAAGATGCCAACTTGTTTAGCGATAGAAGCGGCTGTTAAGGAGTAATCACCGGTAACCATAAATATTCTAATACCAGCACCACGACAAGTTCTTATAACATCAGGAATTTCAGGTCGTGGTGGATCAAGAATACCCATAAGTCCAATGACAGTTAAATTATAAGAAAGTTGACCAAGAGCTTCCAAGTCACTAGTATCTGAAGGAATTTCACTTTCATTTGTAATAATACGACGACAGAGTAAGATTACGCGTGTACCAGCACCACTCCATTCAGCTTGTTTATTTGTTAAAGTTTGTCTTGATTTATCATCAAGTGGTCTTTCAGTACCATCAGGGTCCATAATACGTGTACAACTACCGAGTAACACATCAGGAGCACCTTTGATTAACACGATATGTTTATTAGTATTATAAACATTGTCATTGTCTTTAGGTTTCATTACACGTAGCATCCACTTATTTTTTGAATTAAATGGTATCTCGGCAATTTTAACAAATTTATCAATTTCTGAATTATCAACAGCATATTTGGTAACAAATCGAAGAACAGCAGAATCAGTACCATCACCCAAAATAACTCTTTCATCAATTGGAAAGTCAGCGGTTTTAGGATCAAAAGAAGCAGCGTTACAAAGACGACCGACAGAAACTAATTGACAAAATCCTAAAGATTTTGAATTTTTAGCTTGAAGAGATTGTTCTTGGTTATATGAATCATTACCGATATGAATTTTATCTACAAACATTCGATTTTGAGTTAATGTACCAGTCTTATCACTTGCAATAACATTTACACATCCCAAAGTTTCAACTACAGTTAAATTTTTTACTAAAACTTTTTGTCTCGCCATTTTTCTAGCAACCAAAGTTAGAGTTAAAGTCACAGCAATTGGAAGACCTTCAGGTACATAAGCCACAAGTACACCAATCGCGTTTACAAGAGCTCCAGGTAAATTAATAAAATTAGGATAAGAAACTCTTAACCAAGTCGCCCAAATAATAAGAGTTATTGCAGCGGTAAAAATAGCTAAACTAGTAACTATTATAACGAACTTAGTAATCTCTTTTTGTAAAATAGAACTTTCTTGACGAGTGCTTGAAGATAATTTAGCAATCTTTCCCATAACAGTACGATCACCAGTAGCTACAACTATACCTAAACCTTCACCATTAGTTATGAGAGTACCCATAAGACCAATATTACGTGATTCAAGATAAATATCATCAGTCATATCAACGCTAGCTCCAATGGGTTTATTCTCACCAGTTAAAACAGATTTATCAAATTTAAGGTCAACTTGATGTATTATACGAACATCAGCAGGTACTTTAGTACCAAGTTTTAAAACAATCAAGTCACCAATAACCAAAGTAGATAGAGGGACGGTTTGAGTTTTACCATCACGTATAACGGTAGCAGTAGATGGTAACATACTGTTAATTGATTTCATAACAGCACTGGAAGACCAATCTTGATAACCATTAAAAATAGCTTGAAGGAAGATAACGATTAAGAGAAGTATAGCAAGGCCCATATTCGTTTTATCAGGAGGATTTCCAAGAGGTTGCCAGGCAAGCCAACAAATTAAGGAAGCAAACCATAATAAAGGACAGAAACCACCAAACAAATAACCAAGAATTTTTTTAAATATCTTTGAATCAGGAGGACTTATAATATTCTTGCCATTACGTTGTAATCTTTGAGTAGCGGTAGATGAAGCAAGACCCGAAGAGGTATTAGTATTAAAACGTAAACCAAGTTCATGAATAGATAATTTATGAAAGTCAATTTCAAGTTCTTTTTTTATTCTTGGATCCTTTTCTTTATCTTCTAAAGTTCTAGTACGAGATTCTTCAAGCTTAATTGAAAGAGTTCTATATTCAATACTGAGTTGAGACTTTCTTCTCTCTAAAGGAATAGGTCTATTCCTAGAAGTAGAAGAATTTTCAGAATCATCTTTCGTAATCTTAAAGTCCAACTTCCTTTCCATCTTTTTGAGTGATGATAAATTTTAACAGCTTCATACTTACCTAGGTTTAAATAATAAATTGAATTATAATTGAATTATAATTGAATTATAAATGAATTATAAATGAATTATAATTGAATTATAATTGTTTTTTTTTTTAATTGCGTCATGGCAAAAAACCCTTAAAAAGATTTTAATATTGATTTGTCTTCGGCGTAATACAGCACTACAGCACTTCATAATAAAAAAAAATTATTATTAGGTTAGGTTTATAAAAATGTACAGTGTAAACCAATTGGAGAGGTTACAAAAAACGGCCGAAGTTTGGTAAATATCGGCTTTTTTTTTGCGACAGAGCAGATCATTTGAAGATAGGGTATTGAGATACAGTACTCATAATTTGATAAACACAGCCCTTTTTTCAATTTATACAATTTTAGAAGTGATCGATAATATTAACATTTGTATAAATTCCAGGTATATGGTAATAGGTACAGTACATATCCGATATCGACAATATCTATATTATACGTAATAAGTATGGATGAAGTTAATGATGGTGATTTGTTAATCAGTAATTATTGTATTATATTTTTATCATTTCGGCTTTTTTTTTCATAATTTTTAATTTTAATAACTCATACTCCGAAAAATAAGACAATATTATTGGATTTCTTTTAGGTATTCAATAAATACAATTTCGTTTTATTTATTATTGTACAATTTTTTTTTATTCACTAAATCAATTTTTTTTTTTTAAAAAAAAAAAAAAAAAGTTGCAATCTGTTGGGGATTCACAAATCCGTTTATTAAAAAAGGTAGCATTGGATTAGAAAATATCAAACATGATGTTTGGTTAAACCAAATCCTAGCAGAATATTGGTTCCTTTTAACAAGAATACAAGTAATCATATATTAAACTTATTTAGTATTACTATGTTGTCGATTCGTTTATTACTTAAAATATGTACTAATATTAAAACAATATGCTTTTTTTTTTGGTTTAAAAAAAAAAAAGTTCATCATACCATTAATGATTAATTTAAGTGGATCAATAATTTATTATTATACACTTGGAAAAGCCGGTGAATTAATAATTAATTTTGTCATTAACATTTTTTTTTCAAACTGTTAACCAAATATATACTATATTTATTTTATGATTTTGGTTAAATGATTATGAACATATTCGAAGATTTGTCACTAGCAGTTCCGATTGCAAATTCTTTAACGTTTATATTTACAGCTTTAGCTGGTAGTTTACTTGGTGAAAAAGCTGGAACAAAAGGTATTTGTCTTAATTATTAGTACTTTTATATTTTGATAATTAATTAAAATTTTACTCGTTATAATTAGAAACATGGATTGGAATGATTTTTGTAATAATTGGAGTTGGATTATGCGTCAGAAGTAAAATTTAAAAATTTTTGATGTTGTTATAAATTCAGTTAATAAAATTATTCATTTTAAAGTTAAAAAAAAAAAGGAAATACTTTCGAAATTTTTTTTTTTTTTTTTTAATAAGAAAATTTTAAATCTGTTAATTTCCGATCAGAATAACAACTTGCCTCTAGCTGTCTAATATCTTATACTTATGGGTCACGATGATGTCAAATGCTAATTATGTACATTGTATTTCATGAATTTACATAGAATTTGATCTGTATTATGATAAGTACTATTACGCATTGACATTTCTTGGCAAAAATTGGCGTACGTTGTGACAATGGAAATTGAAGTCCATTCCTATTTTTAGTTTATATTCTTTTGTATATTTTTGGTTACGACGATTGGGATTTCCTTTTATAGTTAGTAAAAATGAGCGAAGTGAGTGAAAAGAGTGAATTGTGAATTCAGTGAAAAGAGTGAATTAAGTGAATTCAGTGAAAAGAGTGAATTCACTCACTTTTTAGTCTGTAAAATTTAAATATATAAGAGCCCTACGCTCACCTTCAATAAAGGATAACTCAGAGTTGGTATAACTCACTAGAGTTCGACTCATAGCGAGTCCATTGTCCTAACCTAAACGTTTCGTTCTAATTACCCCCCCCCCCCTCCGATAAGTGAATTGTATAATCTGTGACCCCGAATTAGAGCCTCGTATTTGGCCCTAATAACTCGGACCCCAAAGTCTTTCCACGCCTCTTTCGTGCCTTCCACATTAGTGTTGGATAGAGTTTAGCTGTTGTAGTGTTGATTTAGATTAGTTTAGTCTTAGTTGCTATCCGTATTTTGTGACTCCAGATTGGTCACCACCTTTACAACGTACGTACGTACTAACGTGTTAGCAGATACAATGTCGATTACATGCAAACAATGTAACACTCAGGATAATTTTTCATCGTTGATTACACAAAAACATAGGAAAGTTCCACTTAAACATAATAATTTATATAATCTAAAATAATGTGATAGTAATTATTCGGATCTTTCGGCTTGAATCTTTTGGGATGAATTTCCTCCTCTAATATGTAGGCACTTTAATTGTTTATGAATAATAGTGCATGGTAACACTAAGTTATATGCCTTATTTGTCATAAAAAGAATCATAAAAAAATAAAAATTGAAAATCAAACCAATTAAAGAATAATTATTATGTTGTGCAAATATCGATTAAATAACGATAAGAATGCACGATATTTGCCAAGAAATTTTTTGTAAACATTGCCAAATTATAATTAAATAACGATAAATATTCACACTATTTGCCAAGAAATTTTTTCAAATTACAATTTGTTAATTATTGAAACAACTTCGTGCATTTTTTTTTACATATTCTAACAAAAATTTTTGAGGTCACTAATTGCAGTATTATTACGTGCTTTGACAATTTGATCTTATCTTTAACATATGTACCAAATCGAAGCACAAATATAATTTCTTTTTTTTTGTGTAATCCGAATGTTTCAATTGAAATTAACTACGTAATAATTTGGCTTGATTAATTTCCTGATTTATCTATTTGGCAATAAAAATACATTTAAGGTTTTTAGTAGTAGTTACGTTTTAGTCACATTACTATAGGCAATGCAATGTTATTAATATCCACTTACTATCATATTATGCTATCTAACCTTTAGGTAGTACACTAATACATAAAGGAATAATGTGGGAAGACACTTAGAATGATATCTTGTATCAATACCTCTTTTGGTTCTATTCACAAATGAATATCATAATTGCATAGAATTGCATATTTTCTACGTAGATAGAATCTTCTAACACTTCTCAATCGATAAGATTTTTTCTTGAACAATTCCGAGTTTTCTATATTTAACTTGAAATTAAATCGGGTATCAAAGAATAGTGTGTTTATGGTTATCTTAATCTAATGCACAACAATACATATGCATGCTATATGTAATTCTAGATAATCCAAGTAGAGTTCCAATCCGGATAAATCCGTCACCCCGATATCCATACCTGATTTATTCGGATATCCGATTACTATTGATATCCAGATAATCTGACAGATATTCGAATAATTATTCCGAATAAATTCAGATCCGTAAACGCTAACCGAATTGGAACTCTAAATCCAAGTACTGCAGTAAATCAAACATAACAAATTAGGCGTCAGAATAGAAAGAGATATGACTAGTATATAGTAAATACAAGTTGAATACAAGTTCAATGTAGACCTTTAAATCACCTCATTCCAATCTTTTTTCCTTTAATATTGAAGTAGATTTCTAGTAAATATTGAAATACTCGAAAGTAACTAATTTTTTGTTAGTATATCATGATTCTTTTATTCTACTTTACCATTTTATTTTACAAAAGGAGTGATTTGCTGGAGTGGATCGCATGTAATGTATAATTACGTATGAACAGCATGTACGTATGACGTACGTACGTACGTACTTACGTAACCTCTATCTTAATAAGACCTTCTCTCATTATTCTTAACGTGAAAGTGGACCCTGAAATCTGGCTAACGATAATACACAATTTATGCATTATTAACGATTATAGCATTTTCATTAATGATAACAATAACTATAACCGGCTAGGTGCAAGATTAATCTTATAGTTCCACATGAATCTTTCGTTACAACAATCTAATTACTATGATATTATTTAAATTGATCGTAAAGTCAATCAATTGATAATCAAGTAATTAACGGTTTTTGGTATTAACTTTTAAATAAAGATCATTTTCTTTTATCCATTTCTGATCCTTCAGCCCTGGCTAGGAATCGGAATGTTCATTTCTGTATTTAGAATAATTCCACTATAATTGGTTCTAAATACGTATCTTGGATATCAAATCATATGAGCAAGTCCAGCTATATTTATATATTGTACAACTGGCATGATTTTTTTTTTTTTTTGCAGACAGATAGTCAATCCACTAATCATATGTTAGTTTATGGATAAGTAGTGAAAATTTGTCAATGAAATAATATATAATTTCAGTAAATCATAACAAATCCATTTAAACGTGATTCTTGTATACTCGGAAATATGGTTCTGGGGGGAAAACGAAACTAGTAAGATCAGACATGCGCTAATATTATAATATTCGTATTCGATTATTATAATGTGAATTGACTAGTCGTTTCTTAAAGAGCAAAGATTATTGCTATAGTGTATGTCTGCACCACTAAATCGTAAGGGCACCACATTGTAGGCGCATTGTAGGTGCATTTGTGAATGTGTGAAGGTTAGAATTCACAATTACCAAAAAAATAGGATTGTTGCGTTAAATTTCTCGCCGAAATTCGGTCATATAAAACCAATGAATGTAAATTTTCGATCATCAATTACGTACATTTCACTTGACAGCCTGATTCTATGATAACATCAAAGGTATTGTTTCAATTTATTATAATCAAACATGTGAAATGAGTGTACCATAATTGTGCCGCAAAAATTTTGCAGTTAACCTAAATATTTAGGTCACGCAAAATTAATTTATTTCGTTTTGCATAACATGGAATCAGAAAAATTGGTCGACAGGCGTAATTTTTTTTTTCTATCGGGGATGATTCCGGGAAATTAAGCCTGATACTGGATAAAATTATGAAATTTTTTTTTTTTTTTGAAAAATGGTCGGCAGATTATGAAAAACGAAAAATCAAGTTTTGTGTGGCTTTACATTAATTTTAATTAATAATAATAACTGATAAATAATATACCAAAGTTTTGATAAAACTTATTTATGTTGTGTTTAGTCAGCTCCCTAATATGATTTGTTAGTAATCAAGACGTTGCTCAACTACTTCAATTAATTGAATTAATTGTCAGACGAACATGAGGATAGTCTAAGGGTGTTCTCAAGCAGCACGCTCGTTGTGATTTGAATTGATTAAAATAGTGCAAAACCATTATGGCATTATTAATTAAACCATTTTTGAGAACCGATAGTATGGACGATGATATGATTGAAATATACTCATGTATCTTTCACAATGGATTAATTTATGATCGCGTTGGTGCTCAAGTATTATGATTAATAAAAATATTGATTGCAATTGATGCTATAGCAAACGTCTTTATCATTACTACCATTTAGCAATTATAAAAAAATAAAAAAAAATAAATTAATGAAAACGATGGATCAACGAAAGGATAAAGAATCTACGACACTTCCAAATTCTGCTACTTCTTTTCAGAACTAACAGATGCCTTTTTTATTTGCGGCGAATATTTTTAGCATAAGTAGTTAGATAATAATAATTCGTCGAGATACATAGTGTGAGGTCCGGAAATCATGAGTCGGAAATTGCTGCGCCCGCTCACGTTGACGCGGTTATGACGATCTATTACTTAAAAAGGAGTTGCCGGCGATATATCGAATATATCGAAGAAATTAAATAAATCCAAGATAACAAATATAACGAAGATAATAGATATAGCCCTTAAAATCAATTTAATAGTTTTAAGAGATATAATAGTTTTATTTGTAATAATCAGTATAACCAATTTAATAGAGATAATGATTATAATAAGTACTAAGTAAAAGTTTATTATAAATAAAGGTGTTATCGCCCCAAGAAAAATTAGGTTTCGTTTGCTTCACTAATAACCAAGTCTCAAATTTATCAAATACATTTCCCATAACATTGAATAAAAATACTATTGTGCGAATATACCTTTTTAACCCTAAAAAGTTATAATTTGTCGTTCGTTAAGTCCTTGTTCACGTGACCTAGCATTGCCAACTCAGAATAACCGAAGCCTTAAATCACCCACCAGCCAAATTAACACACCTCTTTCGTAAGGTTACTACCCGCAGGTTACGCGAGTTTTTGGATAGTGGAGCAACCGAGTCGCCATTTTCTAGTCATCACAATAGCAATAACGATAATAATGTAAAAAGAGTGAAACATGAACAATCATTTTTTCTAATTAATCAATGAGAAATTTTGACCAATAAGTGCAACTCTATTACAAAAAAAGGACGTCTGGGCCTCTATCTATTGTAGATCGGAATGATGAATACCCTTGGTTGGTTAAATGAACTTCAGCTAATAAAATTTTTCTTTCTGACAAATTAAACTTTCGTTACGTGTTTTATTCATTGGAATAATCAATACAATTAACTCATTATAGTATTTTTTTATCTGCTAATAAAAGTTTACCCTCAGGCTCATTCCAACGGGTTGATTAAGGTGTGAACAACCTAAATTTGTCCTTATACTTATTTTCTCCTAAAAGGGTGGTTTCCAATTCCTGATTTCTTTTGACATAAAGGTTATTTTTTAGCAATTATATAATTCTAAAAATCATAGATTACCCCAGTATCACAGGTAGATTAGTGGTGGCAAAAAAAGTCATGGCCATGTGATCTTTGACCTACAAGACATAAAGAGATCAAAAGGTAGACAAGATTTTCTATAACCTTAAATTTAGTGTTCGTAAATTCTTTGGAACAAATAAAGCCAATTAACACTAGATCTATAAACTTGGGATTTTACATAAATAAAATTAGAAAGAGGAAGAGTTACAAAGATAAAGTTTGGTTTTATTAAATGTAAATTAAAAAGATTTTTTTCCTGGCTAGAATTAATATAGAAAACGATCTCTAAGGTACTGTACAAGGTTATTTTTATTACATTGCAGTGTTAATTTTTTTGCAGTTCCAATAAGCTAAAAACTTATATTAACTATTAATCTATTGTAACCAAAAAACTAATGTTCCTTTTTCTAGTAGTTTAAAAGTTTGTTGCTATGTTCTGGTTCTAAGGACTTTGTTACATGTAGTAGTCTCATTAATAAGAGGCAGTCTAAGGACTTTATATGCTTTATAAAGTTTATTATTTTCAATATTGTTTTTACAATATTAACTAATGTTTTAAATGTTTTCATGTCTGATATTAGTTCCAATTTTTTGCTTTCAATTGTCACATTGTGTTCAAAAACAATTATATTCAGGCTGTAACTGCTTGCCTCTGATTCAGGCAGTAAATTTATAGTATCACCATATTGAGTGTTATTTCAAAGATTATTGTTTAAATTAATTCTTGAAAGGTATGTTCTGAAAGATATAAGTGGATAATCATGGCAGCGTATAGTTATAAGAAATTGTGAAAAAAAAAAATAGATTTTTAGCAAAATATTTTTTTACCAAGTGCTTGCATATAAAATGAGGACTATACAAGAAGGTGAAACAAGAATAAATTAAGTATTTATATGAGTATAGTAATATTCTGTCTCACTTATGAAAAAAAAGAAAAAAAAACAACAATAAATAAAAATTTTAAGAATAAAACAATAACAAACAAGATTCTAAAAAAAAACCTATATCCTTTTTAATAGCAGACTTTCAATTACACTTTAACATATTCCAGTATAATGGAAATTCACAATTGTAGCAAAACTTATTTCAAGTATTTTTTATATTTGATATAAGTTCATTGATAAGAATCTCTGTTAAATGATCTAGATGCAACTAGTTAGAATAATACTTATACTGTTGAACCTCCCTAAATCGATCCTCTCAAAACTGATAACCTGTCAAATATGATAAAAAATCAGTCTACAAAGTCCGTTTCCGTTATATAAATCTAATAGTTTATAATGTTTTCCAAATCTGATAACCTCTCAAGACTGATACAAAATCGGTCCACCATGCATATCGGTTTGGGGAGGTTCAACAGTAATTATATTTTAGAACAT